ACACTGTGTGAAATACTGATGATGTGTTATTGATATTTTTATATGTGATATTAAATCAGCTAAAATTTCCTTTGCCCGCCTCTCAACTTGATTATTTTAAAATCACGTGCGAGCGTGTCGTAAAATGTACAACAACATCTGTGATTTTATTAATTAAGCTGTGGTGGGTATCCACTTTCCTCGTTCTTTTGCCACCATTCCAATCTTCTTGTTTTGCTTTTTGTGTAGCAAAGACATGACAATTTACTCCAGGTCAGACAGAAATTTTGTACCTGGTACAAACAAAGTTTACTTGGTATTGGTTTGGCATAAGGGCCAGTTTTCCATTAATTTCAAGATCAGATTTGGCCAAATGTAAGTTAAGCTGGAGAAAATTACAAGAAATATACCATTATTATCAGTATTAACAAAGCTTTCTTATAGCACAACCAAACCAAGAATCTGTAGGATTGACAGGAACATAAAATTGTGTATCATCTGCATAAAAATGTATACTGTATTTACCAATTATGTGACCATGGGGAAGAATGTAAATTGAGAAAATAAAGAATCAACCCTTGTGATGCATTGCAAGAAAGTTTTGTAGATGTGGAAAATGTAACAAACTTCAATATAAAACTACTTATCAGAGAGATATAGAGTTCACACAGTGAACACATTTCAGAATTCCCTCCATCCTTTGAGACTAAAATATCCATACATTTATTGTCTCTCCTTGAGCAATGTCTGTCAGCAGGAGCTCAGAAATGATGTCACCTGACAAGATGTCTTCGCTCCATCCTCACAAATACATATTTCCTCACACTTGTGCTTAAGATTCATGTCATTCAGACGTTTTTCTCCAGCTGCCATCCCCAGTGTGCAGCAGTGACACGTTTCCAGCAGCACAGGTATGACACAACCCCTCCAGAGATCCTGTGGGGCCTGGCATCGCTGCAGGACCTGCATGACTGCTGCTGCTAGCACGGTATCTGTTAGAAGAGAAAATATTCCTTTATGCTGGATGCTCATGTATCCTTGCCTCTCTTCTCCTGGGAGATGCTGACTTTCAAAACTCCTTCACTTCTCCTCACAGATGGCTTAGTTTCTCTCCACCCACCACCTCTCCGTTTTGTCTTTTCCTTGATTTTTAAAGTCATTTTCATTCAGTCGTTGCAATGTTGCAGCATCATCAGCTGACTGTGTGTGTGTGTGTGTGTCTGTGTCTGTGTATCGTGGCACTGACAAATGCAGTACTAAAATTAGCTCTCTGACCTGCTGCTGAGAGAGCAGGGACTGGAAATTTAGGTTGCTTAAGTGACAGCTCCTCAGCCTGGACACACACTCACACACTGAGCCTTGGGTCATCTCACTCCAGGTGATTGATGTCTCAGAGAAAGACAGATACAGAGAAAACATTTAGAATGAAATGCAGGTAAACTAAATTATGGATAAAGCATTAAAGCCATTTAAAAGAGTTGATTTGTTGAGTCTGAGCTTCAGCCAGAGTTTGTCAGGTACAAAGTTTTTGGAACAGACAGCCGATTGTTACTCTAAGTGTGAGCAGCTGAGTGGGATATGAAACCCTCCTGCCAGCCTTCTTCTTGTCACTCCAAGTAGAAGACATGGAGATTTTTTTAGAACACCATGGTAGCTTCTAGTTGGAGAAAATGACAAAGTGAGAAAAACTACAGAAAACAAAGCAGTTGACACACTGCCACAGTAACTTCCTGGAGCCTTATTGTCATCCATGAGGTTGCCAGGCAACCAGCATCCGGTCAGAATTAGGGTAACCAGACCACAAACTGTTGTTTTTACACTTTAAAAAAAAAGAAATTCCACGAATGAGCTGTAGAGGTTCTAGTACGCGGATTTTGTTATGTAATTTTTTATTTATATCACCCAATTTCACAAATGTACCTTAAGGGGCTTTATGATCTGTACAGAATACAACACCCTCTATCGACACCTTTGATTTTGAAAAACTCCCCATGAACTCTTTAATGGGAAACCACAGGAAGAGCAACCGAAGAGGACAGACATGCAAGAGACGTGTATACAGAATAAATAGCAGATTTACAGTATGGGCAGTATACTTCACAATATAAATTGTAAACATGTATTTAGAATGGATGTCGAGCAACCCCCAGGTGCTGACAAACAGATACGACCGGAGCCAAATGGCTTCCTCTCTCCTCAAGCACAGAATTCACAGAGTATTGAGAGACAAGGAAACCAAATTGTCTGCTATGAGTAAAGTAGTAAACGTGTACTGAAAGGAACTTCATACAATAGCTGCCTGGAAGGTCTGATTCTCGATATAAAAACTGATGGTCCAGGAATGTAAGAGTAAGTGAGTAATATTTAACTTTTGAAAACTTTATAACTGTGACCACAAAGTGGCACATTATTTATGTTACAGTATCCTTAAACTTGTGAGTGTGGAGACACTGATGACTGACTGCAATATAAGGATTTCACTGTATTCATAGTGAAAAACAATGATTCTATGGCCTGTTCTTGCCGTGTCACTGATTTTAACAAATTTTTAGCTAGGTAAATGTGACTGAATCAGCTGCTTCAATTAGGTTCTTACCTTCCTGTTTTGGAGACAGTTACATTCCAAATGGACATGTTTGGTGGGAAGAGGGTTCTCTGTGTATCTTCAGCAAAAGTAGCTGAATCAGGTGCTTCTCAGTTCCAGAACAGCAAAGCCCACTGATTCATTAACAGCCTTTAATAGTGCAAACCCCCTACTGTGTCTTCATCCAAGTCAGAAATGGGCATGTTTGGTGTCATAGCCGTGTTTTACCTTTCTTCACTATGGCCTCTGTTATATTTTCTGGTCATGAATGCATAGTCCACTATAGTGGTCGACTAATATGGGTTTTTTGCTGGACGATATTTAGAGAGCAAGGCTGCCGAGGGCTGATATCAAAATAAAGAAAAAATCATATATAGTTTTTAGTGCTGGGCCACAATTAAAATTTTTTATCGCAATTAATCGCATGATTTTCTTTCAAAAGTTATGCTATATGAACAAAAGTGCAATAACATTTGGTTTGCTTGCACAACTTTACACTTTAAACAAATAAGTTGCTTTTTAACAGCAGTATTCCGTTTACACAGTTGCAGTTAAAATAATTCTTTCACTATCTGTGTTAAGTGTTCTGACTTTATTTGAAACGTTCCACTGCTGTGCAACATGAATAAAATAGTCTGCACACGTTTCAGCAAAATGTCTCTGTAATGTACTGTAACTCTAAGGTTATTATGGTTACCCAGGGATGTAGTCTCCAGTGACAGCAACAGTTGGAGCATGATTTAATGCCATCACTTTTGTAGTCCTCTCCTTTTCATACAACTTGTGCATTCTTCTTGATGGTGCGTCTTGAGGGAGGCTCATAGTGCCGTCATTGGTTGCGATCCTATCTTCCACAATACTAATCGGCCTGCAGTTTGAAGCTATCCACTTCACTATGGCATTTGTTAGCTTGTCTTGCTTTTGTTTATCTATACTTCTCCCACACGCTGCATCCAACGTAGTCTGCCGAAGCCTCCCTCCACTCCCCTCCTGTGACCCATGGTTTGTCTGGATGTGTATTCAGAGCCAGTGAGCAACAGACTTTCAAAATAATAATAATAATAGTTTAAAAAAACCTTAGCCCAGCCCTAGTTAAGTCCTAATGATTTTTTGACAAATAAGTTTGGTACATGCACAGCAATTAAAGCCTGACCTATATGGGATTTTTTGAGACTGATTTTAGAAAGGAAAAGTTTACTTTTTACGGATAGGTCGGCCGATATAGAGACTTTTTGAGCTGGAATGAAAATATACTTTTTCTATGTGGATTGTGCACCATTATGACAATGCAAACGCTGCAAATAACTTAATTAAAGAATATTTAAGTTGAATAATCTTTCAAATCTTAAATATAATTTAACAAATTGTCAACCGCACTCTGCTGGATAAACTTTGCAGTGACACCAATATATCACATATCACAAGTATTTTCTTTTTCATTATATATATATAATATATATAACAGTTTTCATATTAAATATCATATACACCAATGCCAAAATGTGTACAATAAGTCAATAACGGTTGACTGATGTAACAGTCGGGCTCTAACAGCAACAACAATAAAACTTAGCCCACAATTTTCTTAGAGTAAAAGCAGCTTCAAGAATATAAACTGACTGAAAATAACAAAAACTGCCCACAGGTCAAAATACTCCTGTTACCCTACACCTTCAACTTTCCCTAAAATTACAAGAGGAGAGGGAGAGACCCCTGTTACTAGTGTTGAGCAGAGCAAATACTCGCCTGTAACAAGTATGTGTCAAGTGTCAATATCTGTTTCCTAACAAATAATTAAATATAGCAACTTTTATTTAAAAAAACTTGTTCTGTTAATAGTTCTGTTACTCTTGTGATTAAAAGACATTGCTCTGAAGCTCAATTCTGAGGCTGTTCTGTAAATGGTTATCCAACAAAGAGAGCAACTTCTGATCAATCGTATCAAATACAGGCTTAAATGTACAACTTCCGGTTCAGCTCAGCTCAGCTGAGAGTATGGATAATGGTGTATTAGCTCATCTCTACCTACTGGCTTTTATAATTTCCTGCTTTTATTCTGAATGCCAGAATCCCCTGCCAGAAGTCCTACTATTAAGTGTAATTAATTCAGTAGTTAATTGGACAGTGTTGAGCTGTGTATAAATAAGAATGAATGTCACAAAACTTAACCACTGACTGTCAACTTCATTATGTAGATTATTGTTCATTTAGAAGGCTTTTACTATATGTTTGTTCAATTTCCTCCTGGTATGAAAGCCCTACTAATTCATAGCAGTTGCAGTTCTTGTTATGCCCCCTGGTGGGATGAGTGTGTGGTATCACATTAGAAATGAATGCCATTGTGTTTGCACCATGCAACCAGGAATATAGAATGTTAAAACAATTTGAGTAGAAAAAGGCGGGCTAGTGATATGACTTTTTCTTTCCATGTCTCCAGCTGCTAAGAGTCCCTGTTCTCCAACGGAGAGGAGGGTAAGCCGCAGCACCCAGTCCTGTGGCTCCTTCACCATCACCCCCTTCACCACCAGCAAGGAGAACCTCCCTGTGCTCAACACACGTATCATCTGCCCTGGTAAACATCAAAGCATGCACACAACTCATTTTCCTTCACCTGACCTCAGCATAACACACAAGGATCACGCGGACATTCCAACCTAGCCTTGCGTGACATGTCTCTCATTGTGTGGTCGTGCAGGCTTGCGGGCCGGTCTGGCTGCCTCCATCGCTGGGAGCTCCATCATTAGCAAGATGCTGCTGGCTAACATCGACCCCTTCGGTGCCACACCCTTCATTGACCCCGACCTCGACTCACTGTAAGAGATGGAACTAGTTGTGTGTCTCCTTTCTATGTCCAGTTTACTGACTGACTGCACGGCTGTTTTTCTCACCCAGAGAGGGCTACATGGAGAAATGTGTGATGAACAACTACTTTGGAATCGGCCTGGATGCCAAGATCTCCCTGGAGTTCAACAACAAGCGAGAGGAGCATCCAGAGAAATGCAGGTGAGACACATTTCCTGTACTCTCTTAAAAAGAGAAATATAATCACTGTAGGCTATAATCCCCTATAAATGCTTACAATGCATAGACCATGTAAGCAGGTGAGAAACATTTACTAGTATCTGGCTGGTTTATAGCGGCACTTTTTAGAAATCAGTGCTAAGACAACAAGGGGTTTTCAGTTAATTTCACAACCCTTTCCTTTTTCACCACACTGTTAATCTCACTTCTGTTCCTACACAGGAGTCGTACCAAGAACATGATGTGGTATGGTGTTTTGGGCACAAAGGAGCTTCTGCAGAGAACCTACAAGAACCTGGAGCAGAAGGTCCAGCTAGAGGTGAGAAGGCAAAGAACAGCACAGAACAAAAACTCGCCTTTAAACCGTACGTACAACTCGCAACGCCCAACTGTATCTTGCTTTCGTCTAAAATCTACTGGAAATATACAGACTCAGGCAATCAACAAACAGCGGGGAGTAATTTAGATGAGGATTTGACTCGCCACTTCTCAGCACTCTCAAATCTCTTGATACACTATTTAATCTAAAGGTTGTAGGTGTAAGGTGAAGCATGATTCTGCAACTGCCTGGCCGATTTCTCACCTCAGATTTATTTAGAGACTGATTTGGAGTGCTCCGGAAAAACAACAACTGCCATGCTTCCCAGTGAAAGTGGGCGCAGTGCTCATCTAGTTAGGAGTAGTAGAGTCGTTTATTGATGTCATCCAACTTGAAATTAAACCAGGTACTGAAACACTATGTTGTGAAAAGTAAAACTAGTTATAAATAATAGTAAATAATAGATTGGACACCTTTAAATCTACTATAGGCCGGTGGTTCCCAACCTTTTTCCCTGACAACCCCTGACTAAGTGACATATTTTATATATATTTCATATTATATTCAATGCATAACAGTAACAGTAGAGAACAACTGATACACTGTACAGTGAACCCAAACAGTGAACACAATAACTGCAAGAAGTTTGTGGAAAAGCAGAGAATTGGATGAATTTTTAAGGAGTTTTTCCTGTATTTATAGGAATTTTTTATGCAATTATCTGTCTGTATTATGTATTTTCAAATGTTTTACATACTTACATATGCTTGCTTTTTCACAAATTCAGCGTTTTGTCTCATTGTACTATTAGTTCTATGGATATAGATTGTCTTCAGAAGACATTTTTAAAGTTTATGTCTTTAATAATCTAAACCTTCAAAACCAATACCTGCACCATTCTATTACTGGTCCAGCTGAGCTCTGCTTGGTCATTGTCTTCCTCAGTGTGATGGCCAGTACATCCCCCTGCCTAGCCTTCAGGGGATCGCAGTGTTAAACATTCCTAGCTACGCAGGTGGGACCAACTTCTGGGGCGGCACCAAGGAGGATGATGTGAGTACATTTACAGCACGCTACATGTTCACACCAACTCTGTGTAATGTTCCATACTGCTGGAGGTGCCCTTGGAAGGTGGCTCAGATCACCTTTGGAAAAGAATAGGGGGGCGTTTGCCAATGTCAGAAATTGGCCTTACTCCTGGATGGAGGCTCCATCTCTCTTTTTCTGTCTCTCCACCTTTCTCTCTGATGTTAACTACGGACTGACAGCCTGGATCCTGGTTTTACAAGACCCTGATAGCCAGGAGGCAGGGGGAGGAATGGGTAGAGAGATATTCATGCTTGTTTGTTTAAGGCTCAGAGCACAAGGGCTGCTGAGGGATTAGAGTCAGTTTGCACACACACAAACACACACACCCCTTAGCGAGCCCCTGCAGAGGTTACCCTTGGACACACATATAGTATGTGCATTTGGTGTTATGTAACTGTTCAGCTGGAGAGGAGGAAACTGCAACATTACGACATTTAGTTAAACTTAGTCAGCATGCACATGCACACACACACACACACACACATACATACAATACAGTCAAAGTTTTGTCTTTGTCTCGAATAAAGCTACATGTTTTGTTGTACATTTTTACACATTGCAGCTCATCTGTAGTAAGTTGTAATACACATTGATTAAGGGATAGATCTCGCTTATCAACATGTTACCACCTCTACTGTAGCACTAAATGCAGCACAACTTCTTTTGTGTTTTGATTTCCATCTAGTGGCCTTAGCCCCACATGACAACACATCTATTATGTTCTTTGAGCATTTCATCAAATGTTCCCTATTCAGCAATTTTATTTTTGCTCTATGTACTTGGGCAGATGCTGACTCCACTTTGCTTTGACCTTTTCAAAGGCAGTTTGCTGGCTGAGATCAATACCAGACTTGTTGGGAGCCTGTTCTTTCAGAAACAATTCATTTGTCATCCAAGATCCAGCTAAACTGAGCTGACAGGGCAGAACGTCTTCTTTTGAGGCCACTTTTTACAAATGTAGAAGAAAGACAGATATATTGGTTTACAACTCCTTCCTGTCACAATAACATGAAAGGATAAGGCTGGTGATATTTTATATTCATCTTTTTGTCAATAAATGTCATGAACAGACCAAAAGTAGCATTGAATTTACCCTGCTATTTGCTGTGGAGCCAAAGTCTTATAAAGCTTTTCCTTTGTGCCATAGACTACAGCTGAATTATTTGGGCAAAATATCTAATTGTGTTTTTTCTAACCAATACATAACCAATACAGGCCTCTATTTGTGCTCTACACTGGAGTTCTGCCTTATTAGAATAGATCAAATATTTAACTTCCTCCTAGGATTTCTTTGAACCAGTCAGAGAAAGTCAATTTTCTAAGTAAGACTTCCTATTAGGAATTGATTAATAGGAAAATTGACCTGGTTAACTCTTGATTGGCACATATTCAGTTGATATTAGGCCTTACTACTTAACATTGTGTTGCTCATGCAGGCTCCATATATCACATATTTTTCATTACTAAGTAGCTATAGATAAGTCTCATTCTATTTAGGTACACTGGTTCTGCACGTCGGACAGTTCTAAGGCCTCCGCGCGTCATTCATTCCTGATTTGGACACCTCGTCGGGGCCTTACTCCTTCTACATATGTCAAGGAGTTCTCCGTACTCGACTAACCTTATGTCTTCAGTTGAAACTACCGCAGTAGTACTATTAGCTTCACAGTGTTGGTCCTAGGTTGGGTTTTCACATATACAGATGATTTACGTATTTGGTTCAATCTTATAATTTAGTGCCCTCTACAAATTTAATTCATGACGCAGCGAGCATACTTCGTATTTAAAAAAGAAAACAGAATACTGAAGTTTAAAATGGAAAGCTACTTACCATAAGATAAAATTATTATAAGAAGATAATATAAGCTCATATCTAATTAATAACCATATATGTTCTGTCATTCTAAGTTTAGTGCGGAAATTGTGTCCCTGATCAGAGTTACTTAGGTCATGAAGATGAATAATTCTCACAATCATGCGAAATACACTGATTAACTCCCTGTGAACATCTATACGCATACCAGCCTAATTTCTTTATGTGAGAAATCTTTATTTTAAATCATTATTGTTATTATATTGATTTATATGCACCAAAGTCACATAGATATGTATTGATATGTGCAGTGTGCATGATTTCATCGTGCACTTCTCAGTTTGGATGTACATGTAATCAATAGGTGAGCTAATGTAGGCTGTCTTCTGTGGTCATGCAGTGATGATTGAGCGCGTGTCTCGTGAGTCATAATTACAACCTGATAAACGCAACCACGCATAGCAAGGTCAGACACACAATCGCAAATTCTTGTAAAATCTGAATCAACTATGGTGCATCTCTGACTCTCATCTATACCTCATATTGTTAAAGGTTCACTGAAAAGATCACGATTATACTGCCGACACTCAGTGATCGAAACGTAGTCGACTGCATTACTATCCTGCTGCGTGATCGAGGGGGATCTCCCATACTATACATGAACCGTGCGCGGCGAGCTGACTGCCTGAATGCTAATCAGAATCCAGCTCAAAGAAACAGGCTCGCTCAGATCAACAGGACCGGTTGCAGATAAAGGCTGAGGTACCAGAGGCGGGGAAACATATCGACGAAGTGGACCGCTTCCATTGTGAATGTCGTCATTTTAGGAGATAAAGTGGAATATGGTGTGGAGCTAATAATGGCCATGAACTGTGTGAGGAGGTTTCGATGAACACGTAGCATTTTTCGATTATTCATCTTTGTATTCCCCTGCATAGCGTTTGGAAACCATCT